GTACGTGGCTTACCAAGAGTGTACATATAATTTTTCAGTGCGACTTCACTGAGTCGTCAGCGGTGGGTCCTGACGAGTCCTCATGTGGTGAGTGCTGACGAGTCCTCATGTGGTGAGTCCTGACGAGTCCTCATGTGGTGAGTCCTGACGAGTCCTCATGTGGTGGGTCCTGACGAGTCCTCATGTAGTGAGTCCTGGGGATTTCCTCTTTTGGGGTGGGTCCTGACGGTCCTAAATGGGTGGGCCCTGAGGAGTCCTCATGTGGGGGTCCTAAAGAGTCCATGTGTGGGCCCTGACGAGCCCTCATTTTAGTGGGCCCTTGACGGTCCTCATGTAGGGGGTCCTGACGAGTTCATTTTGGGGCCTGACAAATTTATGGTGGGTTTTGACGGGGTCCTAATAGTGGGTTTGACGAGTCCTCTTTTATGGGTCCTGACGAGTCCTATGGGGGTTCCTGACAAATTCCTCATGGGGATAGGTCCTGACGAGTCCTCATGTAGTGGGTCCTGGGTTCCTAGTGGGGGGTTTGGAAGAGTCCTCTTTGTAGTGGGCCCTTTGACGGCCCCATGTATGGGCCCTTGACGGCCCTTTTGTAGGGGCCCCCTTGACCGGGGATTTCCTTTTTCGGTGGCCCTGACGGCCCCTCGGGTATGGGTTTTGACGAGTCCTATTTTAGGGGTTTTTGACGAGTCCTCATGGGGTTTTGGGTCCTGACAAATTCTCATGTGATGGGTCCGGGACGAGTCCTAATTGGTGGGCCCGGGACGAGCCTAATGTAGGGGGGCCCTGACACCCTTCATGTGGTGGGTTGAAAATCCTATGTGGGGGGTCCTGACGAGTCCTCTTTGAGGGGGCCCACCATTGGGGGGTTTTGACGAGTCCCAGTTTTTCCCCAGTTTGTGGGGGTCCTGGGGTCCCAGGGGTTCCCCACCTTGTTTGGGGTTCCCCGGGGAAAGGGGTGAGTTACCCCCCTTGGGGGGTCCTGAAAATTTCCTTTTATACTCCACTTGGTGGTGGGTCCGGGTGTTGCCAGGGAACCCCTGTTTTCCCGGAGTGTCCCAGTGTACCCATTGGGGTGTACTTGAGTGTGCCATTTTGTACCCTTTTTGGGTTTTTGTCCTAAGTGGCCAGTTTACCCCTTGTGGGGTACCGGGAAAGGCCAGTTCCATTTGTGTGTACCTAAAGTGTGCCAGTGTCCCCCCTTGGGGTGACGGAGTGTCCAGGGGCCCCACTTGGGTTGTAATGAGTGTCCCCGGGTTCCCATTTGGTGTCCCGGGAGTTCCCAGTGTGCCCACTTGTGTGACCTGAGTATGCCGTTTTTCCCCCAGTTGGGGTCCCTGAGTGTGCCAGTGTCCCACTTGGTGCCCCTGATTTTGGGGCCGGTCCCCAAATTGGTGTCCCGGGAGTGTGCAGTGTCCCCCACTTGGGGTTTTCCTAGTATGCCAGTGTCCCCTTTGTGTGTCCTAAAAGGGAAAGCCAGTGTCCCCATTGTGGTACCTGGGGGTTTTGGGCCGTGTCCCACTTGTGTGTACCTGAGTAGGGCCAGTGTCCCCAGTTTTTGAGTACCTGGGGTGTGCCAGTGCCCCCAATTTGTGTGAACCTAAATTTGGGCCAGTGTCCCACTTGTGTGTCCCGGAGTTCCCAGTGTCCCCACTTTAGTACCGAGTGTCCCAGTGTCCCAACTTGTGTGTACCTGATTTGGGGAAAGTGTCCCATTGTAGTACCTGGTGTGCCAGTGTCCCCACTTTTGTGCCTGAGTGTTCCCAGTGTACCATTTTGTGCCCCTAAATGGGTGGGGTTTTTCCCAACTTTTGTACCTGAGTGGGCCGTGCCCACTTTTTTTTGAACCTGAGTGGGGCCAGTGTCCCCACTTTTGTAACCTAAAATTCCCAGTTCCCCATTTTTGTGCCCTGGGGGTTCCCAGTTTTTCCCCTTTCTTTTTTGCCGGAGTTTTGCCCGTTTCCCACTTTTGTGAACCTAAAATTGCCATTCCACTTTTGTTTTACCGGGGGTGTCCCAGTGAAACCCATTTTTTGTGAAACCAAAAAAAATGCCAGTAACCCATTGTGTGTACCTGGGGTGTGCCGGGGTACCCATTGGTGTCCCGGAGTGTGCCAGTGTCCCACTTTGTGAAAGGGGAAAATGCCCAGTTCCATTTTGTTTTCCTGAGTGTGCCAGTGTCCCCAAACTTGTGTAAACCTAAAATTGCCAGTACCCCCCTTTTGGGGTACCTGAGTGTCCCGGATCCCACTTGGTGTCCCTTTGGTTGCCGTGTCCCCATTGTGGTCCCGGGAGTTGCCAGTTTTCCCATTGTGTGAAACCCTGAGTGTGCCAGTGTCCCACTTGTGGGGTTAACGGAGTGTCCCGGGTTGTCCCACTTGGTGTACCTGGGTGTGCCAGTGTCCCACTTGGTGAAACCTGAGTTCCCAAGTGTAAAATTGGGTCCCTGGTGTGCCAGTGAAACCCCACTTGTGTGTACCGGAGGGTGCCAGTGTACCCACTTGTGTGAAATTTGGAGTGTGCCAGTGTACCCACTTGTGTGTACCGGGTGTTGTGCCAGTGTACCACTTGGTTGTCCGGGTTTGGGGATTTTAAACCCATTTGGGTTTTGTCCCCTGAGTGTCCCAAATGTCCCCACTTGTTTTGAAACCTGAGTGTCCCCAGTGTCCCAAATTGTGTTTTTCCTTTGAGGTTGCGTTACCACTTGTGTGTACCTGAGTGTCCCAGGGTCCCCACTTGTGTGTCCCTGAGTGTCCCAATTACCCACTTGTGTTTGGTGTCCTGCCCCCTGTTGCCAGTTACCCCTTGTGTGTACTTGAGTTGCCATTCCCCACTTGTGTGTACCTGGTGTGCAGTGTCCCCCAACTTGTGGAAATTGAGTGTCCCAGTTACCCACTTGTGTTTTCCTGAGTGTGCCAGTTACCCACTTGTGTGTACCTGATTTCCCGGAATTTTCGCCCTTGGGGGGTACCCATTGTTTTGTTACCTGAGTGTCCCGGGCCCCCCATTGTGGCCCTGAGTGTGCCATTGTCCCCAATTGTGTGTCCTGGTGTGCCAGTTTACCCCTTGTGTTTTCCTGAGTGTGCCGTGTACCCCTTGTGTGTACCTGAGTGTCCCAGTGTGTACCCACTTGTGTGTCCTAAAGGTGTGCCGGTATACCCATTTGTGTGTACCTGGGGTGTCCCGTGCCCCCATTTGTGTACCTGGTGTGAATTTGTACCCCTTGTGTGTCCCTGAGGGGTCCCAGTAATCCCCACTTGTTTTGTACCGAGTTTTGCCAGTTTTACCCACTTGGGGTTCCCTGAGTGTCCCAGTGTACCCTTGTGTGTACCTGAGTGTCCAGTATACCCATTTGTGTGTACCTGAGTGGCCAGTGTACCCACTTTGGGTACTGATTTGGGGTTGCCCAGTTTACCCCCATTTGGTGTACCGGTGTGCATTTGTACCCACTTGGGTTTTCCCCTGAGTGTCCCAGTTCCCCACTTTGTGTCCCTGAGTGTGCCAGTTTTCCCCATTTGTGTCCCTGGGGTTGCCGTTTCCCCAATTTGTGTGTACCTGAGTGTCCCAGTGTACCCCGGGTTGTTTTCCTGAGGTGCCGTATCCCCACTTGTGTTTTTACCTGAGTGTGCCAGTGTACCCATTTGTGTGTCCCAAAATGTGCCAGTTCCCCACTTGTGTGTACCTGGGGTGTGCCAGTGTACCCACTTGTGTGTCCCTGAGTGTGCCGTGGTCCCCATTTGTGTGTACCTGAGTGTCCCCGGGTGTCCCACTTTGGGTACCTGAGTGGGGCCAGTGTACCCCTTGGGGTTGTACCTTTTTTGGCCAGTTTTCCCACTTGTGTGTCCCTGAGTGTGCCAGTGTCCCCATTGGGTGTGTACTGAGTGTGCCAGTGTACCCCTTGGTGTACCTGAGTTTTGCCAGTTTCCCCAATTGTGTTTTCCTGAGGGGGCCCATTTGTCCCCATTTGTGTGTACCTGAGTGTTGCCAGTTTACCCACTTGTGTTTTACCTGAGGGGGGCCCAGTGTCCCCACTTGTGTGTACCTGGTGTGCCAGTTTTCCCACTTGTGTTTTCCTGGGGTGCCAGTGTACCCATTTGTGTGTACCTGGTTTTTGCCGTTTTACCCATTTGGGTGTGTACCTGAGGGGGGCCAGTGTACCCATTTGTGTTTTACCTGAGTGTGCCAGTGTCCCCTCTTGTGTGTCCCTGATTTGTCCCAGTGCCCCACTTTTTGTGTACCTGAGTGTCCCAGTGTACCCACTTGTTTTGTACCTGAGTTGGCCAGTGTACCCACTTGGGGGTTTCCCTGAGGTGCCAGTGTACCCACTTGGTGTACCTGAGTGTGCCGGGTTCCCCACTTGTGTTTTCCTGAGTGTCCCAGGTACCCCTTGTGTTTTACCTGATTTGTGCCAGTTACCACTTGTGTGTCCCTTGAGTGTGCCGTGAAACCCCAATTGTGTGTACCTGAGTGGCCGGGTACCCCTTGTGTTGTCCCTGGGGTTTTGCCAGTTTTTCCCCATTGGTGTGTACCTGAGTGTGCCGTGTCCCCACTTGTGTTTCCGGGAGGTGCCGTGTCCCCATTTGGGTGTGTACCGGAGTGTGCCAGTGTCCCCCTTGTGTGTCCCTGAGTTTTGCCAGTTACCACTTGTGTGTCCCTTTGAAGTGTGCCAGTGTACCCACTTGTGTGTCCCTGATGTGCCTTTTAAAACCCACTTGTTTTGTATGAGTGTCCCATTTAAACCCACTTGTGTGTACCTGGGGGTGTCCCAGTGTCCCCCTTTTGGGTGTGAAACCTGAGTGTCCCGTTTTTCCCACTTGTGTGTATGAGTGGGCCAGTGTCCCCATTGTGTGTCCCTGAGTGTGCCAGTAACCCACTTGTTTTGTCCCTGATGTGCCAGTTACCCATTGGGTGAAACCTGAGTGTGCAGTTACCCACTTGTGTGTCCCCTTGGGGTGTGCCAGTTTACCCACTTGTGTGTACCTGATTTGTGCCGTGTACCC